ATGTTCCATGCATTGCTGGTGCACGTAAGTAATACAATGTAAGGGTGAAATATAAAGTAAAATATTTATATTCAACTCAGAGAACTTAGTAACTTACAACTGTTCGACTTCGACCAATATAGCTAAAAGAAGATCAAGGAATCTCGAGTTTAGATCAAGTTTATGCTTAGGATAGCTAATGGAACAATGACAGAATACCTTGCAGTAACAACCCCAGGAGAAAGAGATTTATTGCTCTAAGCATGACTTTCTTTGTGGCAGTTGTCTTGTTAGAATTTTTCTGCAAGGTAATTAATATATTTACAGACAGTTTATAAGTATGCAAATAGGAATCCATTGCAGCAAAATGCTTTAATTTTAAAAGACGAGCTTCACCGGCAATATCAATCGGGCAAACACAACACTGACACATACAGGGGTTTTAGAGAAAGATTGGATGGAAAAACAAGGGCAATTTTGCATATGAGGTGAAAGAAGGATAAACTCTACCTTGAATGCTAGGCTGATAGAGACGCCAACAAGAAAAAGAAAAAATGGCATTACAAAATCCGCAATTTTTCTGCAAGGTAATTAATATATTTACAGAGTTTATAAGTATGCAAATAGGAATCCATTGCAGCAAAATGCTTTATTTTTAAAAGACGAGCTTCACCGGCAATATCATTTGGGCAAACACAACACTGACACATACAGGGGTTTTAGAGAAAGATTGGATGGAAAAACAAGGGCAATTTTGCATATGAGGTGAAAGAAGGATAAACTCTACCTTGAATGCTAGGCTGATAGAGACGCCAACAAGAAAAAGAAAAAATGGCATTACAAAATCCGCAAGTGTAATACCGAACCACGGAGAGTGATTAATCGATGGGAAAGCTCCTCCAGCATCATCAACCAAAATCATCAACTGTTCATTCATTGTTTGAGTGAGAAAACCAATCAAATCAGGAAAAACTAGAGAGAGAATTTAGAAGGTGACGGTGAAGTAATAGTAATACACAACTCATCAAACACTTTATTTGATAGTAAAATATTGTAATACGTATCAAGCTTTAACGAACTAATTAATTTGGCAAATGATCAATTCAAGGGTAATATTCCAGAGATTCAATGAAGTGAATAGAAATGAATTCAACTGATTCACAGGACACCATCACTTTATCCTCCTTATTCAAGTGTTTGCTCCCTGTAACTAAACCACTGTAACTATACCACAAATACCATGGCCTCAATCACTCACAGTATCACCAACCAAATTAGCTCAAAATTAAAATGAAAGAAAATTAGGAATTTTTCTGTGGCTTGTCGTACCGCGACCGTGAGGCCACGGAAGACGTCGAGAGAGGCGAGGCGTTGACTAGGTGTCGATGCATCTGGACCGTTGGATGGTACGGAGGGCACAAGACTTTGGATCTCATTGGATGAGCCTCTGTCTGTGTCTGTGTCTCTGTAGGGAAGAAGAAGAGGAGCAACGTCGACGGCCGCAGACATTTTTCTTTAGTGTTTTTTTTAACCCTCGGTCTCAGCCACAGGCATCACTCACTCCTCCACATATCCGCCTCAGTGTTATCGTTTTAGATGCAAGAAAACTGCTAGATAAGAAGGCGGTGCTCCGTGTTAGTTGACCAACGGGCAAGCGGGGGCGCGTGTGGCCTCTGTTTATTGTAATTTCACTTGTAAGTGAACTTAATGTCGTCTTCTCCATTTTGTTTACTATTTCATATCAAATTAAAGTGAGAATAATCTTAGTGGTCTTTATTTTGTGAATAATTTGCGACTATACGATGAAAAATTATAGAACCCTCAATTAATTTACGAAATGTAATGATTTTGTTAAGAATTGAAATTCAATCATTTACATCTACGTAAGTTTAGCAAAGATTGGAGTTTGAAGCAAATGTGAGTTAAGTCAGTTGATTATTATGGCAGTGAGCTCATTATTTTTACACTCAAATTTGAGTTATCGCTCCTTCTATTTAAAAATAAAAATGAAAGTCTGAAAGGTAACAAAAAGAATGGAGTTCCGAAAATCAAATCAAGTTGAAGAGAGAGACAATTGGTTTGGAAGGTTACCATAATTAAGATATGGAAACGGATTCGATGGACTAGGTAGGCAATGGCAAAATTAATGAAATGAGATATTAATTTTCCATTTATTCTGAAGATTTGAGAAAGATTGACCTTTGACAAGTCACGCATACACGTTCACATTTAATTAGGGCATCCAATTTCCCAATTAAAACTAACTAATATACAGTTTTTGTATTTTGTATTGTTTAGAGGAGACGTGTGTAAAGAAAGAAACCTTCCACAATTGTCTTGATTTTGTTTGTGCATGACATGACATTGATACATTACATGATTACATAGGATGATATTTAAAATAGGAAATTTATTGGCAGCAAATGAAGATTGAATTGAAGACACTTGGCAATTACAAAGCAATTTGGATGCCTAATTGTAATTGCAAACATGCACCACCAAATCAAATTAAAAGATTAAAAGAGGGAGAGTGAGTGAGTGAGTAATTAGAGTAAAGAGGGAAACAGCAATCTGTTTTAACGCTGGCAGACAGACAGATCGATAGCTACAAAATATATAATGAATCAGAGCAAAGAAAAGCAGCAGTAACTCAGTCTCAGAGGAAGGAAGGAAGGATGAGGAAAGATGATAAATGGGGTGGTGGTCCGGTGGAGATAGAGGCAGAGCCAGCGACGACGTCGGATGAGGTGAAGCAAGGTTGGCTGTTGAAGCCAGAAAATAAAGAAAATGGTGGTCACAACCATGAGAGGAATATTGATGGGAAAAAGAAGAAGAGGAGGATGATGAGCAAGATTTTGGGGAGCCTGGTGAGCATAAGGAGCCTAGTGGTGGTTGGGGTTGCCATTCTGGGGGCCTTGATCATTGTCCTAGTTAAGATTGCTCAACGCAACCACCACCATCTCCACTCCTCATCACCTCACAACTATACAACCGCCCTTCACCAAGCGCTCCTCTTTTTCAACGCCCAACGCTGTATGTACTACTCTCTTCTCTACCCAATATCCCTTCATTCTCCTCTTCTCTCTCTCTCGCTCTCTCTCATTTACTAGACTAATTATTATCACTAATTTTTTTAGTTATAAAAGTTTTAATTACTCTATTTTTACCCACTTTGTATCCAAGATTTCTTTTCTTTATTTTCAACAGGCCGCTTCTTGTTCTTTTTTCTTATCAATTGTGATACCATTGCCTCCTCACCATTTATTTAAAAAAAAAGTTAGCATAAGCATAATGCTTTTCTTTTTCCCCAAAAGAAAAAACAAAGGAGAAAAACGATTTAGCTAGCTAGGATTAGGAATGGCTGTCACAAGAAGGAAAATCCAGGAAATTGTTTTAATAGAGAGATACCTTGTAGGTGGACTTTCAACGCCAGTCCAAATTGGATGCATACTACTGACTGAGTAATTTGCCACCTCAGTCATTGTGGAATTATAAATTATGTGAATTAGTAACACCACGTGAGTGTTGCGGTCATACTGAAGAATTTATCGTTGACGTTAAATACATACCAAAATGTTGTAAGATAATTGTAATTGAACTAGCATCTACTCCTAATTAACCTGTAAGTTCCATTTTATATATGCAGCTGGAAAACTGCCAAAGGACAACAATGTTTCATGGAGAGGTGATTCCTGCTTGGCTGATGGCAACTCTAACACCAAAACTCTGGTTGGTGGATATTACGACGCTGGAGACGCAAGCAAGTTCAGCTTCCCTGCATCTTTTGCCATGACCATGTTGAGCTGGAGCGTGATCGAATACAGTGCAAAATATGAAGCACTAGGAGAGCTAGACCATGTCAAGGGCATCATCAAGTGGGGCACAGATTACCTTCTCAACACCTTCAATTCCTCTGTTCATTCCATTGCCAACGTTGTTGCAGATGTTAGGGGAGGAGATCATGATGCTAACTCTCACGACTGTTGGATACGTCCTGAAGATATTGACCATCCAAGAACTGGACAAGAGTGTTATAACTGCCCAGCCCTCGCTGCGGAAATGGCTTCTGCTTTAGCTTCTGCATCCATTGTTTTCAAAGATAACATTAAGTACTCACAGAAACTTGTTCATGGTGCTGATTTACTCTTCAAATTTGCTACCAAACAGCAAGGTGCAAAGTATGCGGGCGGTGCAGACCCATCTTCCCCTCTCTACAATTCTACTGGTTTCTGGGATGAATTTCTGTGGGGGGGATCGTGGTTGTATCTTGCAACAGGGAATTTATCCTATCTTCAACTTGTTACTAACCCTGACTTGGTTGGGCATGAAAGGGCTTTGTGGACTGACCCTGATAATAGGGTACTTAGCTGGGACAACAAGCATGCTGGTGCTTTTTTGCTTCTAAGCCGACTGAGATTGTTCCTGAGTTACGGCTACCCCTACGAACAGATGTTGAAAAAATTTCACAGCCAGACTGAAGACACAATGTGCTCCTACCTTCCTGTTTTCTCAAGCTTCAGAAGAACTAAAGGAGGGCTGATTCAGTTGAACCATGGAAGGCCAAAACCTCTTCAGTATGTAGTCTATGCAGCATTTTTAGCTCAACTATATAGTGACTACATTGACGCTATTTCTGCTCCTGGATGGTATTGTGGACCCACATTCTACTCCAATGTAGAACTGCGCAGGTTTGCCAGGACCCAAATTGATTACATTCTTGGCAAAAATCCTCAGGGGATAAGCTACGTTGTAGGCTTCAGTGAACATTTTCCACAGCATGTGCACCATAGAGGGGCATCCATTCCCCACAATAAGATCAAGTATGGTTGTAAAGGAGGATTGAAATGGAGAAACACTCGGACACCGAATCCAAATACAATTGTCGGGGCCATGGTTGCTGGTCCTGATAAGCATGACAATTTCCAGGATGTCCGTTTCAATTACAACTACACTGAGCCGAGCCTTGTAGGAAATGCAGGTCTTGTTGCTGCACTTGTGGCACTATCCAGTGGAACCCCTGCTGGTATTGACAAAAACTCCATGTTCTATGCAGTTCCTCCCCTGACTTCACCCCCACCACCTCCCCCATCACCTTGGATACCCTGAGATGTTTTAGTAACATTCATCTCTTGTGACTATGTCATCAAATATTCTTTTTTTTCTTTTTTTTTCTTTTAAAAACCAAAAACAAAATTGAAAGCAGTTGATTCTATTTTTGATTTTTTTTTTCTTGTCCAACAACAAAATTTCTCGGTGAAGTCTAATAAGATTACTTCCAGAAAGGTCTGATAATTTTTCTGCAGGTTCAGTATAATAAGATGAGCTTACATTATTCTCAGTGAAGTGCTATCTTCCAATATCATCTCAATGTCAAGTACACAAATTTGAGTTATTCTTCCTTCCGAGTCATTGCAGATTGAGACACCCTGTAGCATCAATAAGCTCCCCAATTCTTTTTGCAGCAGAAGCCAAAGTCTGATCACTTTTACAGAAAGCAAACCTAATGTATCTCTCCTGATAGCTGTAACCTCCCAGAGAAAATTTCTCCGGATACAAATGTGTATGAAAAAATCCACATCCTGGCACAGCCACAACCCCTGCTTTCTGTATTAACATTTTAACATAATCTACCTGAAAAAAACATGAATCCGAATCATTGATATCACAAAAACAAGTATGATCATTGTCCTAGTTAAGATTGCTCAACGCAACCACCACCATCTCCACTCCTCATCACCTCACAACTATACAACCGCCCTTCACCAAGCGCTCCTCTTTTTCAACGCCCAACGCTGTATGTACTACTCTCTTCTCTACCCAATATCCCTTCATTCTCCTCTTCTCTCTCTCTCGCTCTCTCTCATTTACTAGACTAATTATTATCACTAATTTTTTTAGTTATAAAAGTTTTAATTACTCTATTTTTACCCACTTTGTATCCAAGATTTCTTTTCTTTATTTTCAACAGGCCGCTTCTTGTTCTTTTTTCTTATCAATTGTGATACCATTGCCTCCTCACCATTTATTTAAAAAAAAAGTTAGCATAAGCATAATGCTTTTCTTTTTCCCCAAAAGAAAAAACAAAGGAGAAAAACGATTTAGCTAGCTAGGATTAGGAATGGCTGTCACAAGAAGGAAAATCCAGGAAATTGTTTTAATAGAGAGATACCTTGTAGGTGGACTTTCAACGCCAGTCCAAATTGGATGCATACTACTGACTGAGTAATTTGCCACCTCAGTCATTGTGGAATTATAAATTATGTGAATTAGTAACACCACGTGAGTGTTGCGGTCATACTGAAGAATTTATCGTTGACCCTTGGCTTTGGTTAAATACATACCAAAATGTTGTAAGATAATTGTAATTGAACTAGCATCTACTCCTAATTAACCTGTAAGTTCCATTTTATATATGCAGCTGGAAAACTGCCAAAGGACAACAATGTTTCATGGAGAGGTGATTCCTGCTTGGCTGATGGCAACTCTAACACCAAAACTCTGGTTGGTGGATATTACGACGCTGGAGACGCAAGCAAGTTCAGCTTCCCTGCATCTTTTGCCATGACCATGTTGAGCTGGAGCGTGATCGAATACAGTGCAAAATATGAAGCACTAGGAGAGCTAGACCATGTCAAGGGCATCATCAAGTGGGGCACAGATTACCTTCTCAACACCTTCAATTCCTCTGTTCATTCCATTGCCAACGTTGTTGCAGATGTTAGGGGAGGAGATCATGATGCTAACTCTCACGACTGTTGGATACGTCCTGAAGATATTGACCATCCAAGAACTGGACAAGAGTGTTATAACTGCCCAGCCCTCGCTGCGGAAATGGCTTCTGCTTTAGCTTCTGCATCCATTGTTTTCAAAGATAACATTAAGTACTCACAGAAACTTGTTCATGGTGCTGATTTACTCTTCAAATTTGCTACCAAACAGCAAGGTGCAAAGTATGCGGGCGGTGCAGACCCATCTTCCCCTCTCTACAATTCTACTGGTTTCTGGGATGAATTTCTGTGGGGGGGATCGTGGTTGTATCTTGCAACAGGGAATTTATCCTATCTTCAACTTGTTACTAACCCTGACTTGGTTGGGCATGAAAGGGCTTTGTGGACTGACCCTGATAATAGGGTACTTAGCTGGGACAACAAGCATGCTGGTGCTTTTTTGCTTCTAAGCCGACTGAGATTGTTCCTGAGTTACGGCTACCCCTACGAACAGATGTTGAAAAAATTTCACAGCCAGACTGAAGACACAATGTGCTCCTACCTTCCTGTTTTCTCAAGCTTCAGAAGAACTAAAGGAGGGCTGATTCAGTTGAACCATGGAAGGCCAAAACCTCTTCAGTATGTAGTCTATGCAGCATTTTTAGCTCAACTATATAGTGACTACATTGACGCTATTTCTGCTCCTGGATGGTATTGTGGACCCACATTCTACTCCAATGTAGAACTGCGCAGGTTTGCCAGGACCCAAATTGATTACATTCTTGGCAAAAATCCTCAGGGGATAAGCTACGTTGTAGGCTTCAGTGAACATTTTCCACAGCATGTGCACCATAGAGGGGCATCCATTCCCCACAATAAGATCAAGTATGGTTGTAAAGGAGGATTGAAATGGAGAAACACTCGGACACCGAATCCAAATACAATTGTCGGGGCCATGGTTGCTGGTCCTGATAAGCATGACAATTTCCAGGATGTCCGTTTCAATTACAACTACACTGAGCCGAGCCTTGTAGGAAATGCAGGTCTTGTTGCTGCACTTGTGGCACTATCCAGTGGAACCCCTGCTGGTATTGACAAAAACTCCATGTTCTATGCAGTTCCTCCCCTGACTTCACCCCCACCACCTCCCCCATCACCTTGGATACCCTGAGATGTTTTAGTAACATTCATCTCTTGTGACTATGTCATCAAATATTCTTTTTTTTCTTTTTTTTTCTTTTAAAAACCAAAAACAAAATTGAAAGCAGTTGATTCTATTTTTGATTTTTTTTTTCTTGTCCAACAACAAAATTTCTCGGTGAAGTCTAATAAGATTACTTCCAGAAAGGTCTGATAATTTTTCTGCAGGTTCAGTATAATAAGATGAGCTTACATTATTCTCAGTGAAGTGCTATCTTCCAATATCATCTCAATGTCAAGTACACAAATTTGAGTTATTCTTCCTTCCGAGTCATTGCAGATTGAGACACCCTGTAGCATCAATAAGCTCCCCAATTCTTTTTGCAGCAGAAGCCAAAGTCTGATCACTTTTACAGAAAGCAAACCTAATGTATCTCTCCTGATAGCTGTAACCTCCCAGAGAAAATTTCTCCGGATACAAATGTGTATGAAAAAATCCACATCCTGGCACAGCCACAACCCCTGCTTTCTGTATTAACATTTTAACATAATCTACCTGAAAAAAACATGAATCCGAATCATTGATATCACAAAAACAAGTAATTTATCTTACATTAAGGAACATAGACTGTGAATTGCAGCCTGCAAGACTGGAGAAATGCAACCAACCCTGACAAATTAATTGAAGGTTCTCTGCAAAATTATAAGACCAATAAAGTGAAAGGCAAGCATACATCAGAAAGTTTGCAACTTTCAGGTAGCTCTGCAAATAAAAAGAGTGCACCCTGAGGCTTGAACTGGATCTTAAAGCCAACTCTGGTTAGCAAATTGACAATGTAGTCTCGTCTTGATTCATAATCCTGAGCATATGGAGACAACAACAATGAGGGATTAGTCATCATCACCAGTTGCATCACATGGACAAATAGCTACTAGGGGATATGCCTTTTGGACCTTACACTTCTCAATGATTCGAAGTATTCAGGGGGGCTTCCCAAAGCAGTCAAGGCAGCTTCTTGGAAAGGTGCTGGAGCAGAATCTGTAAGTTTAGCATGAATGTTTCTGATTGCAGATGCAATGAAAGCTGGAGCAATTGCCCATCCGACCCTCCAACCTGATACACAAGATTTCAGCAACGAGACAATGCAATTCAAATAAATTTTAATTTGAAGCAGAAAGAAACAATTAGCTCTATTACAGAAAAAGAAAAGCATGAATAAGCAAATTCAATCAACGCTCTTTGGGGGAAGAATAAGATGTAACCTGTTACACTGAACGTTTTAGATAAGGAAGACGTGATAATAGTCCGCTCTTGCATTCCTGGGAATGCTGCAAGGGATATATGTTTCTCACTGTTGAAGGTTATATGCTCATATACCTGTAGAAACATTCAAAAAGACAAAATCCATAATTCTTTTAGCAGTTTAATTCAGAAAAAGCCTATGGTTCAATATACCCAAGTCTTGTTAGTATAAGCAAAAGAATGTCATACTTCATCTGTTATAGCTAGGCAATTCCTGGTGCGACATTCTCCAGCAATAATCTCAAGTTCATCTTTAGTGAATACTTTGCCAGTTGGGTTGTGAGGACTGCAAAATTTACATCAGTACATATCGACATAATAATACGAGAAATATGATTTCTTGGTGGTTGCTTCTAACCTGTTGAGTACTACAGCTTTTGTTCTCCCGGTGAAAGAGTTGATGAATTTGTTAGGGTCCAAGGTCCACTGAGGTGGGTCGAGAGCGACGTATACCTGTGACATTCATTGTATTGAAAAAAATTAGTAGAAATTTGAAATTCCGTCTGTTCGTAATTGGTAAGCCTAGCCATCAACAAGCTGCAGCTGCAGCTGCTGCTCTAATCTGAATTCATAACACAGAGTGAAGTGCCTTCAGTGACAAGTAATAGGAAGCAGAGGCTTACTGGGACTCCCCCAGCCATCTTAATGCATCCTTCATATGTTTCATAGCAAGGGTCAAACAGTACAACTTCATCAGTGTGTGTGTGTAAGATTCATCCATCATTGAGTCTTTTCCAAAGTCCATCAACAACAAGGTCTAAAGGGGAGTGAGTTGGTTCTAATTCACAACAGTAACCTGTTACACTGAACGTTTTAGATAAGGAAGACGTGATAATAGTCCGCTCTTGCATTCCTGGGAATGCTGCAAGGGATATATGTTTCTCACTGTTGAAGGTTATATGCTCATATACCTGTAGAAACATTCAAAAAGACAAAATCCATAATTCTTTTAGCAGTTTAATTCAGAAAAAGCCTATGGTTCAATATACCCAAGTCTTGTTAGTATAAGCAAAAGAATGTCATACTTCATCTGTTATAGCTAGGCAATTCCTGGTGCGACATTCTCCAGCAATAATCTCAAGTTCATCTTTAGTGAATACTTTGCCAGTTGGGTTGTGAGGACTGCAAAATTTACATCAGTACATATCGACATAATAATACGAGAAATATGATTTCTTGGTGGTTGCTTCTAACCTGTTGAGTACTACAGCTTTTGTTCTCCCGGTGAAAGAGTTGATGAATTTGTTAGGGTCCAAGGTCCACTGAGGTGGGTCGAGAGCGACGTATACCTGTGACATTCATTGTATTGAAAAAAATTAGTAGAAATTTGAAATTCCGTCTGTTCGTAATTGGTAAGCCTAGCCATCAACAAGCTGCAGCTGCAGCTGCTGCTCTAATCTGAATTCATAACACAGAGTGAAGTGCCTTCAGTGACAAGTAATAGGAAGCAGAGGCTTACTGGGACTCCCCCAGCCATCTTAATGCATCCTTCATATGTTTCATAGCAAGGGTCAAACAGTACAACTTCATCACCCTTGTCTATTACTGTCCAAACAGGAGAGGAAAACAAATTATATCAATCCCCAAACAAGAAAAAGAGAAAAAAAAGAAAAGAAATCCCAATAAGACTGAGAATATTATGAAGTGGTTCTTGGGACTCTCTCCACTCCCAGCCAATTTAGTTTATAATAAATTTTCTGTTTCTGCTTGTGCATGTAGGAAAAGGAAAAAGAAATTAATTTTGAAGGTGATAAATGAAAGTGAAGCTTAGAGTGATGAGGTAGCATACTTGCAAAGGCAGCTGCCGCGAAGGCCTCAGATTGGCCACAACAAATGGCTATATCAGTAAGAGGGTTGACATCCAATCCATGGATTTGCTTCACTATGTTTGCCAGGAGGTCACATATTCCAGGTACATGCCTTACATTAATTAACATAAAAGGAACATTAATATTTAACTTGAGCTAGTCAAGTCAAGGTACGTAGTTTATGTGCAGGGGAAGTGGGTGTTTCAAATTCAATTTCATTTTGATGAAGCAGAGCTGAGCTGAGCACATGAATTTCTAGTGTACCTACCTACCTACCTGTATTGATTGAAGTCGGAATGAATAGCGGAAATGGCAGCGGATTTGATATGGGAAGGTGCAGGGAAGTCTGGAAAGCCTTCGGCGAGGTTGATGGCGTTGCATCTCTGGGCAAGATGGGACAGTTCCTGAATGGGTGATGGTGCAAAACTCTTTGCCACGCTCGATAACTTATCCTCCATTTCACTTTCAATTTCAATTTGCTTTGCCGCGGTGTCTTTCCTTTTCTTCACTCTATCTCTATATTTATGATTATGAGTTCCTCAAATACAACACACACATTTTCTTTTTCGTTTTTCTTACTTTAACAATTATCCCTTCTCACTCTCACACACACTACCCTACTCTACCCATGAAGGACTAGGATGGGGATGGATTCTGATTTGACATAAAACTAACACCGTTGGAAAAACATGAGACAAGTTACTAATTTTCACCAGAAACTTACCCCAAAACCGAAAAGTAAAACGAACAAGACGCGCATATGAGTATGACCATGTATTTACGTTGGCATATGGCGAAAATGCCCATCACCATTCACCACCCGTGACCTGTGTGTGGGTGTTGTGGTAAAATCATGCAGGAAAGAGATAGGAAGCAGCAGGCTTTGGATTTAATCTAAAGGCAAGTCCCGCCCTTAGACCCATCTGGACCCCATTGAAGGGGACTCTTTTGTCCAGACATATCATCATATATCCATATGATTTCTTGCCTTTTTCTTTTTTGATGGAGACTCGAATTGAACTCAAAGCACAGCTAGCATACAACTAAGAAGTTGAACAATAGTATATCGTGGACATGAAGAACCAGCTGCTCTGTTCCAGCACAGATGAATCAACTACAGACGAGAATGATGAAGAGTACTGGCCAAGATCAGTAGCTGCTAATAATAATTGTTGGTGGAGATCATGGGGTGCAAAGTTTGATGTTAAGATGATGAAGGTTGATCCAAGGATGAGAGTGGTGAGAGAGTTGGAGAGACTGGCTTTGGTGGCAACGCACAGTCATCACGAAGGGCTGAATGAGCTCCGGCACAAGCTGCACATGTATCGATCAGGTGATTTCTGGATGCCTATAGGAGGTATCACTAAGGAAAACATGGACATCCCACCGCTGGCCACAATTCTCTTGGTTGGCTTCTCTGCTTCTGGCAAGACCTCCCTCGTCAACCTTATGTACTCTGTTTTGGGTCGCTCTGGACTCGTACCCTTTGCTCAAACATCACCGCCAGAGACAGGTACACCTGATTAGCTATATATTTTAACTCACTTCCTTAACTTAATTAAAAACAAAACATATATTATTATACATACATATATATATATAAATATATAATACTGTTCTTTTTTCTTCTAATAAAGTATAAACAACATGGTATATTTGTATTGGTACGTGCTGCGTGCACAATGTGCTACATGATATCCTTTGTTATTATTATTAAGTAGTAATTAATTAAAATTTTATTTGTGTTTGTAGGAAGTTATTCTTCAAATCATAGTAGTAAATCTAGAGCTGGCATGGTTTTGAAAGAGCACAATGTGCTAAGGTCTTCGCGAAGTGGGTTCTGTGTGTTTGACTCGAGGGGATTCGAATACAACCAAATGGGTGAGGGTGTTGAAGAACAAGTGTCAAGTTGGATGAATGACGGGGTTCGCCATAACCAAGTGTGCTTAAGACCAGGCGACGATGCTGCGTTAATGGAACATGATGAATATTCGGCTTCAAAGTTTGTGAGGAGGAGAGTGAATTGCGCAATGGTGGTGGCTAACATGGCAGAAATCTACAAGGCATTGCAGGCTGGTGATTCTAAGCCAATGGAGGCCACAAGGCAGCTTTTCTGCTCTGTTAACGCTTTCACAAATTGTAGTAAGTTTTCTTCATTCCTTTTTATCATTTAATTCTTCAGTAAATTTGGCTTACCCCCCTTCTAAATTGAATTTCTCTTAACTGCAATTCATCACTTTTTGTTCCTATTAATACTTATTTTCTGACCAAAATAAATATATTTGTAAATAATATACCTATTTTTAATTCATAAAAACATTTTCATAAATTTCAATTACAAAGTGACAGATCCTTTTCTTTTTTTGTTTGTAAATAAAGTACCTATGTTATATACATATTTATAGCTTTTATAGGTATATTATTTATTGGATATGTAATTTAGGGATTTTTTGTTTGTTTGAGATTGTAGGGATTGACGATGTGTAGAGGGAAATGCCAACCAAAATAAATGGGGTGATTCATATGCTATTAATAGGGAGTATTAATTATAATTAAGGTAGTTAATGATATGTTTGAAAATAAATTATAAATAAAATATGAAGCTATGTGGCATATAATGTAATTTAGTTAATAACACTAGGACAAATCTATCTCACATAGCAACTTATTTTAAATTTGGGTTTTCAATAAAGATTTAAAAGTAGGTGGGTATATGACTAGGATATAGTAGTAGTAAGGGTATATATTGGAAGAACTCTTAATTCTTCAATTATAATATATATATTTATATAATTTGGGAGTGCAGATGATGATGAGAGGCCTATCTTGATATTGACACATGGCGACATGTTATCAACTGAGGAGAGGATTGAAGGGCGGCTCAAAATCTGTGAAAGTGTGGGTGTATCGGAGACTAGTGGAGTATATGACATCGTGTGCCTTACCGAGTACGGATTTCTGGCAGAAGAATCAGACCCAGTTTCAGCCTATGCCGTCACTGAAGCAGTGTATAGGGCATTGCTGATATCGGACAGAAGCCACTCACCCAAGAAAAGCCTTGAGGACTGGACATTGCTTGTATTATCCTGGATCATGTGCCTTCTTGGCTCTCTATTTGCTCTGCTTGCTCAGATTTGCCTCAAACTCGGTCGACACACCAAGGATATATATTAAACTAGTACTAACCCACTCAGGTCTACTAGGCTTCTGAGAGGAACCATTCATTTCTTTTGATGTACTCTTCATTAATTACTTGTGTTTTACTAACAATAGGGTTCTTATGTATGTTTAGGGAGCTTCTGATCTGACTATGTGTAATATAAATAAATATTTGGACATTATTATTTCATATAATCGAGGAGGAGTTTACTTTACAGCTATCTGCATGCTAGAGAGCATCTTCTTCTTCTTTGTTTTTTTTTTCTTTTCAAATTAATACGAAGTGGAGGAGGAGTTGTAATACTAATTTGTAAAAGTCATGGCTCAAGTATCCATGGATTTGATAAATAATTCAAAAGCGTTGGATAGATGAAAAACACTGAAGCCCAAATGATAAGTGTGTTTTTTGAATTTGATCTGTCTTCAACAAACGTACTTGGGATGGACCACACTGAAGGGAAAGGGAAGGGAAGGGAAGGGAAAGGGAAGGCTGGCTGTCTGCCATGTCAATCTCTGTACAATAAAAAAGAAAGAGACTGGCTGGCTGGCTGGCTGTCTGTTTGTCAGTATGTCGCTATTTGCATATGGACCAGAATCAATCTATAGGCCGTATTTTGTCTGTTATTGTAACTTTATCTCCCCAATCTCTTATTCCATCTTGTTTGTATAACCCTATTTCTTATTTCTTCAACTGTAATGACAAAATACCAAGGCTCATGGTTTCTGGCTCTTTATCTGTATCTCTCACCGCCCATCACTAGCCCATTTCCTCCATCCAATTGGGTAACTATTAACCAAACCATTACCCAAAGCCAAGGTGAAAATACGTGTGTAATTAAATTATGTTTCAATTTTCAATATCAAAGGAGACAGTGATCGGACTGGGATGGCCCAAACCTTCTTCCAAAACAACAGAAAATGAATGCAGCTCCTCTAAAGCAAAGGGACACAAAACACCAAATATTTTTAAGAACATACAAACAGAGGTGGGGAAGTCTTAGGGCGTTTAAGTCATTTAAGAATATACCAGATCTAGGGTTTTGTGTTGCCCCCACCTCCCCCAAAACGTTTTTCAAATTTTGTCGTGGCTATAATATATATACATTTAGCAAATATATAAGTCCGTCTATGCGCTTTTCTTGTCCCTGTTTTCCCCTGCGCGCCTCCCTCTTTTCGCCAACCATTATATTTCTCCCTCAGTCGCTGGTCGTAACGAATTTGTTTGATCTCTACTAGCACTAGTACTAGTCGTAGCTAGCCAAGGATATGTTTCATGGGGTGGGGTTCATTTATTTAACATCCATGATCCATCCATCCCTGTGTGAAGCGTGCTGCTGATCAGCGATCAGCCGCTAGCTAGATGTACGTGTTGTAGGTGTGTTTGATCAAACCCACCACCCATTCTGATTTATTTGGCCTTTTATTCTTCTCATGAACATGAAACCAGTGAAATAAGAGCTCGCTGTGTCAAGTGTCATGGATCAAAGACAGAAAGTAAGAGCTATCCATCTTCTGATGTTTTTTAGCATCCGCTGAACTGATATTGATAGTTCATTCATTAATGTGTAACTAGCTAGCTTAGTTAACCTTGATTTCTGAAAACAGGGATCAGAGGCAGAGCACATGAATCAGAGTAGCATTGCGCCGCCCAGCAAAAGCTGTGCAGATTGCCACACAACAACAACACCACTATGGAGGGGAGGTCCAGCTGGGCCAAGGGTAAAATTTCATTTCATGGATCAACTTATAATTCATATCCATTTTCCTTTGGTTGAATTTGGTTTGGTTCTTTCATTAATTGAAGGGTATATAATAATATATATACATGATGTTTTCAGACTCTTTGCAATGCATGTGGGATTAAATACAGAAAGAGAAAGAGGGCTCTTGTTGGTTTAAACAAAGGAGCAACTGGAACAGAGAGGAGGAAACACAAGACTATTGGAGCCCCTTTGAAGCTGGGATTGATGTCTATGGAAAGAGAAATGGTCGAAGTGGTGTTACACTTCCACAAGAGGAAGTTGAAAGAAGAAGAAGAAGCCGCTATACTGTTGATGGCCCTATCTTGTTCTAGTGGCACTGGCGGCGCCGTCTGTGCTTAAAACTCTGTTTCCTCACTCTTGTATGTATGTAAATTCTAAATGATGCTTTTGCAGCAGCTGCCAATTCATTTGTATGAAGTTTTGCAACATTCATGCAAACGAAAAGCCTCCATTTCTTTGCTTGATGGTTGTTTTATGTTTTTCAGCTTTATATATATATATATATATATGTATGCTTGGTGGTTGTTTAGAACTTGCTCGATGGTTGATATATGCTATCAAATAGTGATCATTGAGTTAAGGCATCATTGTGTTTTGTTAGTTGAAGGGGCGTTTCTTCTCATTGGTATTGTTTTCTTTATAACATTGTATTTTCACGAACTTGGAGAGATTTCAGAAGGGGATTAGTGAGTTAACATTATTATTACTAATAAACAAATTCATTTAATTGTTTTTATAAATTTGAAAAAAAAAGTAAGAACAATGGACCTATTCAAAAATCAATCCTGCCAGAGAATTCCATGGTAGTTGAGATGAGAACATAACGCATACATATCCAAAGTCCAATTAAAACATGAGATGACTTCTTTCTACTTGCTTCTGGGTTCCTCTCCTCCACAATCTTCGATTATTTGTATTACAGACAAAAATAGTAGTAATAATCATCTTTGTTTACAGATGTTGTAAAGGAAAGAATCAGAAGGTGACACGTAAAGTACACCTAGACATTCTAAATCTAAACTGCTGCCACGTCAGTGCATGTAGTTACACGTGTCTTCACAGTTGACCCTACAAACTCTTTCTACTCCTAGACATTCTAGGAGGTTCCCCTGCCTGCAGCTCTGTATTGTTCCAGGACTTTCCACAACTCCAACTGAGGAGGCCATCAATTTAAAGAAAGCGATACGAGCTAGGAAACAATTGAATTGAGGCACATCAGATCAGATCAGATCATTTATTATAGGGATCAAAATGCAATATTTGCAAAAAACAGTGGCTGCTGCTGCAGCACCAAGGTCAAGGTCAAGGTCAGTTTGGGTGCTTGGCAATCAAGCTCAATCTCTGCGACCAGGACTTGCTCCGGCCATGGCTAGTCGCCCTGCTGACACAGCCCTTCACGCTGGGGACTATGAAGCTGACCCTGTTGTCACCACCGGAGATCCTCAAGTAAGACATATATCTGAGCTCCAATTGAGTTTTTTGCCTTCAATTAGGTAGACCGTAGATGTACAATATATGTCTTTATATGTTATGTATCCATTCGGCCAACTACGACCTAGCTACTGGCTATAATTAACTACAACATCAATTGATGAAAATCTATGTATAGGCTACAGAAAATGTTGCAGAGGAAAAACCAGCCGTTGATGAGCAACAGAGGCAAGTAGACAAATCACCCAGCAGCTGGGGCAAAGGAAAAGGAACAGGAACAGAACCGGTTTCACCTCCTAATAAACCCTCATATCCAAACGCCAGTTTCCCAAGGCTAGAGAAGACAGAAGTGACCCTGCAGCCGGATCCGTCGGACCACCCAATCAATTATACTCAGAAAAGGCGAGCTAGCCAATACGCAACAGCTGCGACTGGTTTATCATTAGAGAATTTCGATTTGGAAAAGGTGAGCTGTGTGGGGCTGGATGGTACACCCTGGCCAAGGGACAAGGAAAATGAGGAGCACAAGACAGATAGAGATAGGGAAGATGAACGAGAGTACTACAAGCATCACAAGGCTTCTCCGTTGTCAGAGATAGAATTCGCAGATACCCGGAAGCCCATTACGCGTGTAATGTACGGCACGGCTGACGCCGTATCGGAGTATGGTGCAGGTAGAGATGTCATTAGATGGAGGCCGGAGCAGTTGGACACGGCTGAGGAGGCACTGAGTAGAGCTGCAAGGATATGGAAAGAGAATGCCATGCGTGGTGACCCTGATGCCCCTCACTCCAGGGTGCTCAGAGCTCTACGCGGGGAGTCATTCTGAGTCTGGACAGATCACTCATCTATATATGTAATCTGATGCATGAATGGGATGTAATATGTAATGAAATTTAATAATTGTATATGTATATATATATAATATGTGTGTGTGCCAGCGTTTGTGAGAAGAACCTACATGTAACCGCCTAACATGGCAACGAGTGATGAATTGATGATGATGATATAGATGTATTGTGAGTATGCAGTCTCTAAGGATTAAAATGCCAAATCTCAAATGATGCATATATATTTGATCACAACTTCCCAGCTTGCAGGGTTTGAATTTTCAAAGAGACGAAATTCAGCTCCAATTTTAAGAACTCGACAACTTAGAAATTTCAAACGAATGCACTCTGAATGACAACATAAAGAAAAAGAGAGTGAATTGTTGGGAAGAAGAGCTAACCTTTACGTTGTTGATAAACGTGATAGAATTCATACTGAGAAGGAAAAGAGTATATTTCTATTACTATTGATGATGGGTTACAGTCAATGTATCAGTCAATAAAGACTACCGTTTTCTTTTCTATTTAACAATGGAGGTAAAAGGTGTATATATATACACAAGAGACTATACAGGAAACCCTAGGACATCATTAACGCGCAGTCGTTTTGGGCTTAACTCTTTGGGGCCATAATCTGAAATCACCAAAACGCCCTTACAGTTCTCCTTTCATTTCCACGAAATCAAAATCCCCGACCGTTCCCGTCCCGCCACATTACTGCACCACCGCCGAGCCTCGTCGGCTCATCCCCTCACTATCTCACCCGCAGAAAAATCACAGCTTCCGTGCTACCGTCATCTGTAGTTCCGATTGCACCATGGAGGCGGAGAAAGCCACAGACGTGTCAGACATTTAGAACGAGGACGACCTCGACGAGTAGCCCGGCGAGGTGATCGAATCAGCGCCACCTCTCAAAGTCGGCGAAGAGAGAGAGCTCGTAGCTCTGGCCTCAAGAAGAAGCTCCTCAAGCGCGGTCATGGTTACGAAACCCTCGACAAAGCCATTGGTAAAGTGCCAGCTCATAATTTTTAATTATTAAATGCCTAAATTATATTATAATTTTATAGACATTGAGTGTGGAAATTTGAATTTAGTACACTACGGTGGAACTCTGCTTGATGGGACGAAGTTCGAGTCGACCAGAGACAGAGACGAGCCTCTCACCATTAAGCTCGGTGAGGGTGGAGTGGTGAAGGGTTTGGACCATGGCGTGGTCTGTATGAAGAAGGGAGAGATTGTATTGTTCACATTGCCTGCTGAGCTGGGTGCCAAACAAAGTGTAGAGATTTGTGTAAAGATTTTCTGGTTTAGAATTCTTTCTTATGTCTTTCATTACTTACAATCAACACATATATATACAAGTTCCTAAGCCCACCAAGTTAGGCAACCAACCTAGTTAGGCAACCAACCTAGTCAAGCCCCCCAAATATTGTAGGTGCCAAACATAGTAGGTGCCAAACATTAATTGACTACATAATTAACACATGTTAATTGACTACATCATTAACACTGGGCTATGGTGTTGTTTGTGGGGGTGGCTCTGTTGTGCCGTCCAATGCTGTTGTTTGATTCGAAGTCGAACTCGTTTCGTGTAACACAGTGGTGGATTTGAGCAAAGATGGTGGGATTGTGAAGAAGATTATCGAGAAAGGAGAGAGGAATGAGCAGCCTGGTGATTTGAGTGAAGTTCTTGGTACTCTGATGCCTCATTATCATCAATTTGAGTTCTGTATTGGTTATTATATTGTGTTAGCATGTAATCACAGTTCTGTCAACCTCAATTTTGATGTTTTTATTGGAATTTTGTTGTTAATGCAGTTGTGATTATACCAATTTGTGATAATTGAATATTAACGTGGGGTTTTGTGTGTGTGTGTTTCAGGCCATTTTTGTTCAGCATTGCCAAAAGCTATCAAGACAATGAAAAGGGGAGAGAAGGGCAGATTCATTGTTCAACCTCAGTGTATGTGTTTGGATCCTTGTTATAATACTGCTATATATGTCTGGCAAAAAGAAAAAAAAAATTGAATCGTCTGACAAATGAAAGTTGCATAAATAATTGTAGATGCCTTTGGTGCGTGGGTTGCTAATGAAAGTGCAAGTGTTACTAAAAATATTATTACTAGGAATCAGTTGGGAAGTACTTGGAGGTAATTTTTGGAATACATAATGCACCTGTGATATCATACCATTCTACTACTAGTTAACTTAAACATTTCTGTACATCTCCAACTCCAACTGCTGCAGTTAGCTAATATATAGCTATATATCTGATGGCACTGTTTTTGAGTAACACGTACGTATGTAACTATTGTCCTTTTTATATTATTTATAATAAATTATTTTGATGGGGGTTTGTGTGGGGGTGGTGGGGGAGGGTATATCGTAGAAGATAAAACACCGACAAAGGGTGCGGTCACCAATACACATGCACACTTGGCTCCCAGCTCTCTACCAAATCAACATTGTCTTTATATATAGTCATGACATGAACCAGTCTTGATCAACATTAATATCATCTCTCATATTATTACTATTGTATCGATTGACAGCAAGTCTTCTATCTCTTCTCTATGGCTAATTCAATTCCCCTTTCAATGCGAATCACACTCACCCTCACCACTACTCTCCATGTCATGCTACTGCATGCTTATGCTTCACCAGTTGTACTAGCAGCAGCAGTGTCCAAAGACGAAACAACCTGCACAATGTGTTATGAGTGTCCCAACCCATGCCCTGTGCCATCATCACCACCGCTACCACCACCTCCTGCACCGCCTTCTCCACCACCGCCAGCTCTCCCTGAATGCCCACCACCTCCTTTACCGCCTTCTCCACCACCGCCAGCTCTCCCTGAATGCCCACCACCACCACTACCACCCTCACCTGTGCATCCTCCTCCTTGTGACGTTTGCGGCGGAACCCCCTCCTCTTCTCCCCCTCCAGGGGAAGATGTGCCCCCATTACCCCCGAACCGGACGCCACCTCCACCCTTTGTTCCAGGCAACCCAATTGGCCCACCCTTTTATCCTACAGATAATTATCCTCCACCACTGCCTTATCCTTCTAAATCGGTTCATTCGAGAATGCACTCCTCCTGCTCCACTCTTGCTTCCATATTTGTGTTGTTCACTTCAAGTTGCTTCTTCTTCTTCTTCTAGGTAAGTAGGTAACAAATAACTGTTGGCAAGTAGCTAGCTAGCTAGTTCAGTACTGATACTGCATGTGACATGATATATGCCTCTCTCTCTCTCTCCCTAGCTAAGCTATTCTTTTCTTCTGTAATAAGGCCTTCTTCACTGAAGCGCGATTAGCTCTAGTGTGTAATATTAATGTGTTTCCCCCTCTTAAACATGGAACATATTATATAATTCATTCCTTTCTGATGTAACTTTTCATTTCATGATGTCATTCATCGCGTTATTATATGAATAAATAAGTATTTAACTTTTTAGTTGTTGTATATGTCTGTAAGACTGTAACCTGGTAATTAATCAGAGTGTTAATTAGTTCAAATTTTCGCAATTACATATTGTTTTATATTTTCCATTCTTAATATGAATACATGTTATACCATAGATTATTAAGGAATTGATATCCTAATTGTATTATTCGATCGGCTGCTTTGGTCCCACTACCGCATGCGGTTACATTACAGCACATCGGTTTGGCACTTAGGTTAGGTAGGTTCTGTGTGGTCACCCAAAATACTGACTCGGAGTCAGAGACATAGATATAGATATATCCCTAACCCTAAGGAAAGGAACAGGTAAGGCCCAGCCCAATCTAGGAAAATTATTTATTAGGTTGGGCTCCAACACCGGGAGCCGGAGCATCCTCTCTTCCTCTCTTCCTCTCTTCCTCTCTTCCTCTCTTCCTCTCTTCCTCTCTTCCAGGTTTGTTGAAAGTTGAAAATTTTCTTACTGATAACAAAAATGATTTGGTTTGGATTTGGAGGTTCACTCATTGACGCTGTTAACTTATTCCCAACAAACAGCTCCATTTACCTAATTCACCTAATTTATTTACCTTAACAAGTTAATTTTGTAATTGAATAATGTAAGGTAAGGGAATGCATGCTAATATGGTATGCTGATGGTTGGGTTGGGGGCCCATGTAGCGGCCAACTCTATTAATTATGTTTAGTATGAGGTGTAAAAGTTACAGCAGGCTGTGTGACTTTGAATTGCAGGAATTAATTAATGTGTGACAAATCTGTTGGATTTGAAAGAGATTGCTTATTCAATACCTACAAAGTTAAGTATGAATGAGGAGGTTATTGGTTTATTTTACTTTTTTCCTCGTATGAATGAGGAAGTAATTAGATTCATCGTAGATTCATGTTCATGGTGAAACGACCTCATTCATGTCGTATAGTCTTCTTTTTTCAATTTTAACTGCGCCCACCCCTAAGCGCTGTGCAATCGTAGCACGAGCTGTAAGTAATAATAATGGAACAAGGTTGAAAAATGATCCAACGACGTGGAGCATCATATGCATGTGGCACGAGCCGCGCCCACCCACCCACATTCAATATGGACTAATAGGACACGCTTGAGAAATGCAGGTAGCCCCCTCTCATTTATGACCACTAGATCACCACCTCTCTTATTATATAATATTATTATTATGTTTACCTTGATATTCATATTATCATATATACATTGAGAATTGAGATTGAGATTGAGATTGAGAATTGGATTATAAATTATCCCTTTTCTTTCCGACACCCACCTCTCACTTTGCTCTCTCTCCCTCATATCTTATCGACACTGTAAACTAATTTTAGAGAGAGAGAGAGAGAGAGATTACAAAATTAAAGTGGAAAGATAGAAGCAGCGCGCGGCAAGAACAATGGAAGGTGTCTCTACAAGCATGTACAAAGGTTTGAGAGGCTACTGGCGGAGGAGAGGCTACGAGAAGCTAAGTGGGTCGGGTCGACTGACGGAGGTGCGTTCGGGCCGCAAAAGGCGTGCGCGGCGGATCCGAATAAAAATCAAAATGAGTCGGAAGCTGAAGCTGAGCTTCCTGAGAATCAGAAGAATGCCTTCGCCGAAGAAGTTGTTGGTTTGGCTCCGGGACGCCTATGTCAAACTGATGCTGGGATTCGCTAACTCGGGGATGTTTAGTACCGGCTACGGTGGGCCCATGTGCGACTACGGTACCGGTTCCTTCGGGAAGGGCCCACTTAAGGAGTATGATGAGAAGATGATTGTCGAGATCTACAAGTCACTGATGCTGGCGCAAGGTCAGTTGGTGGCCCGCGACGCAGCCAAGTTTGGCTCAGAAATCGTTAGCCGACGGTAAGGTAAATCCGGACATCACACACGGTGCAGCCTGCACGCACAACAAGTGAAAGATAAAAATGTTGTTGTGTGTTTCCGTTGTAAGTTAAGATTTTAGTAATCTCTTGTTGTAATAAGATCATAATAATATGAATGAATTCGTTGCTGGAGCCTGGCAGCCTGGCAGCCTGGTGGTGATAGAGATAGATTATTATTATAATTTTGTTGATGAATATAATGAAGCAAATAAGTAACGCATCTTTTCCAAGTAAAAGTGCATGTGGCTCATCGTATCTTGTAGCTCATATCGAATCAAATAAGTTTGGCAATTGCCATTGATTAATCAAAGGCGGGGAACAACCGGCCGACAAAGGTTGTGAGTTGTGAGTTATTAATTAAAAGCCATTAAACGCATGAAACACGAAACAGTTCAGTGTTGTACACGTCAACGTTGATATTGTTACTCAAGTTTTGTTCCTTTTATAAGATGAAGAAGACGAAGAAGAAGAGATGATGTTTTTCTTTGCAAAAGGAACGGAGAGATGAGATTTCTTAGGCGGATAATTGATCGATCCACGTCTTTTTATATGTTATTCAAGTTCAACTACATCATTCCATTACTCATAAAACTTATAATTCTAATGAATAAATAAATAAATAAAAACAGTGGGTTTCCTTTACATGATGATTCCTTGGATTGGATTTCACATGTATCGTTGACTATCGCCAGTTGGCAGACACCACTCAATCGCGTCCTTCCTTTCTTTCCGTTCCCTTAATCATAATGCTATGTCTTGTTTGTGGGCTACAAGTCAACTTATTCCAGCAGAGCATTGGGTTTATTTATACTGGGCTGGGCTATTCGCAGCAAAACCTAGCCCTGTTCATATGCAACCCCGAAATAGGAAATACATGCATGTTGGGCTATGCTCGGCCAGCCACTTCTGGCCTAAACCGGAGGGTTTTTCTTTGTGTTGGGCTTTCTCGAATCGAAATGTTATTTTTGTTGGGATCGAATCGAATTGTTAAAATGCAACTTGTGTATAAAACGCACAACTTGAATATTAATATTAATATTATTGATAATGCAGATTGCAGAGAGGGGCCAGGCTGGCGTTAGAGAAGTGAGGCGTACGGACTGTAATGGTGTTGTGTCAACCGAGGCGAGGAGCACGCTTCACAAAGTATAATATAAAAGCATCGGCATAGCATGACCACAAACACAAAACACAGCTGTGTGTTGCGTTGCGCGAGAGAGAGAGTACCGTACGCCTACCTGCGTCCCCTTCAACTCAATGGGACTTGACGACATCACAGGGAGGGGGATCACTGATCGACTCCACGTGGTTCCACGCCATTGGTTTGACCTCCCAGCTGGTCTACACCAACGCTCCTGGCCTGGAAAAGCCTGAGCTCTTCTGATGTTTTCTGCTTGAGCTAAAGACTTTCCCAAGGTCTTTGAATTTCGTGCAAATTTCCAATTGGGTCGACATACATACATATATTATATATATATATATACGTGTGATAAATGTGTGCAAGCAAAATGACAAATCAGCATAGCAGCATAGATTCTGCGGGGCCCTTCTACGAATTCGTGTAAACTACGTACAGAGACTTTTGCTGAATGATTCCTTGTGGTGTGGGCTCCCATTCTCTTTCAAATTCAATTATGATGACGATAGATAGATCAAACGGCTTTTTTCTTTGAGAGAGAGAGAGAGAGAGAGAGAGAGAGAGAGAGTATCTCATCTCATGTCATGGTGGTGTGGTGCTACTGTAGTGAGCATAACACAGAACATAGGGGTAGTTATAAATTGAAGGAAAATAGCCGAACATCGTATTCTGATTCGTATCCAAGACCACTATGTAAAATGAAAACAACGACACTTAATAGAAATTTCTTTAGATAAACTTTAATGGTATAATTAAAGATATCAATAAGATATCTAAAATACCAATTCTATGAGGATAACAAACTAATATGCTAAAAACAAAACTAACGCAGACCAAAGCCGCACTAAAACTATTAGCCCTCATCACCACAATTAGTCATAAGCCCAAATAAAACTCACAAATTCAACATAACCAAAACCCTAAATCAACTCGTGAACCTAAACTAACCCTACCACCACTACATGAAGAAGACCCATTACGGCCACACCCACCACCGCTCTAGCTGAGCATAAAAGCGAACAAATAAACAAAAACAACAACTTTGCCAAAGAATAATTGGGTGATTTGCAACAACTTCTGTCAAAGACGATGTAGAATCAAATTTAAAGAACATAAGCGGCGTTAGGAAGCGGATTTTGGGAGTAGGATTTGATTGAGAACATAGACTAAAATGGGTGATGGGAGACTTCAATCTAACCATGGCTTAGAAGAAACCACCATAAGGGGCTTTTTATTCAAAACGCCCCAGTAAACCTATTCACTAACCTAAAAGGAAAATACCAGAAGAGAGGAGGGGGAGGAGGGGCAGTGACTCTTCTTCCACCTCCACCCTCTATGGAATATTTCTTTAAGACATAGAGGTAGAGAGCTGCTAGGATTTGGGAGATGTTTTTGTGCAAAATTTAATAGATACTCTTATGATTTTATGGAAATGTCATTTTGTACATAAACACACACCAAAGTTATTGAGGGTACATTATCCTGAAAAACAGTCAGTGTAGAAAATGAAATTGTTGTAGTTTGTTGCGATGTTAGACATACGATAAAACTTAGAAGAGAAATTAAATTAGTACATGTTTTGCTAAGTTTTTGTAGGCAAATTATTATGGCAAGTGCAATCTGCAGTACGATATAAATAAAACCACAAGTCCTAATTCCTAAATTAATCTCTCGCTCCACCACACACACACCTACATGAAAAAGTTATAAAAATAAAAAGGGAAGCAGAAAAGTAAAAATCAGATCACAAGAAGTCAAGAAAAGAGGATGCGTGACATGTACAACCGTCCGGATGTGGAGTGAAGAGGCTTTGCCCCGTGGCCCGGGTTGCAATCGTCATTTTGATACAAGACAGGAGAACAGCTGGCTCCTTCCCCTCTTTCCTTCTACGAGGCTCTGCGATGTCATACATACATATGCATTGTATTTATTTTATACTTTACTATTTCTAGATTTCTACCAGTATCCAAACTCAGATTTATATTCCAGAAATTAAAACGTCACGTATTAGATTAAAATTTAAACCTTACCCTTTAAAAAAAAACAAATTACAATTTATGTTTAGCCGTGGATTTCTATGGTGGAAAAATGCAAAGCTGGAAAGGAAAAGAAAAGGTCTCACTTTCCCTTTCTCAACTCTCTCTCTCTCTCTTCTAGTTGTGCTGTGCCTGCGCTCCATCTTCTCTTTCACAGTTTCATCTTCTCCTAGTCCGATACTCCCAGGAAGAGCTTAATAATAGAGTGAGGCAAGAGAGACAGAGGAGGAGGAGAAGGAGAAGGGTAGAGCACACGGCGGCGCGCCTTTCATTGTTCGCCGTGTCTGGCCTGAGAGGTTCATGGATGGGGGTTCTTCCTCCTCCTTTTTCTCCCTGAAAATTCAAAAAGGTCGCTTCGCTTGGTTCCCACGGCAACAACCCCCATACTACACTTTGATAGAGAGGAAAGGATCGAGATTCCCTCCCACTCACAGCATTCTTCTTAATCCCCCTAATTTGCTTGCTTATATTCACTCTCTAAGTTTGCCGTGATTGCCACTTTCAAACGCCAATCGGTCTCTCTCTACAATTCTGGCGGACCTCAAAGGAACCTTAGCGTTCCTTTCGTCGATTGTAGCAGGAGATCATTTCAATTTCTTCGATTTCTTCCAGTTTAAGAGAAAGAGGAGGCGGAGAGGACCTTTCTGCAGCGGTGGCAGCAGCAGCAGCAACAACAACATCAACAACAATACCAAGAAGAAGAAGAAGAATAAGATGCTGTGGATTATTAGATTCTCTGGCTTCTTCTCTGCTGCAATGCTCATGATCGTTCTCTCTCCGTCTCTCCAATCCTTCCCTCCCGCCGAAGCCATCCGATCCTCTCACCACCACCACCACCACCTCGACTACTCTTACCTCCGCCTTCCTCCTCCGGTTCTCCTCTCCGATTCTGGTTCAATGGTCGGAGCAGGAGGCCGCCTCAACTTCCGAAAGGCCTCTGCATTCCGCAATTCCAATGCATGTGCATCCCCAGGTCCCAAGACCCAAATCGGGGGCGCGTGTGATCCCAATTTGGTACACGTGGCCATCACTCTGGACGTTGAGTATCTCCGTGGGTCAATCGCCGCCGTCCACTCTGTCCTGCTTCACTCGCTGTGCCCGGAGAGTGTCTTCTTCCACTTCCTCGTCTCGGAGACGAATCTGGAAGCCCTGGTCCAATCCACTTTCCCGCAGTTGAAGTTTAGGGTCTACTACTTCGACCCACGAATGGTACGGAGCCTGATCTCGACGTCTGTGAGGCAAGCGCTGGAGCAGCCGCTCAATTACGCCCGCAACTACTTGGCGGATCTGCTGGAGACCTGCGTCGAGCGGGTCATCTACTTGGACTCTGATCTCGTCGTCGTCGACGATATTTCCAGGCTCTGGACCACCAGCCTCGGTTCCAAAACCATCGGGGCGCCCGAGTACTGCCACGCAAACTTCACCAACTACTTCACCCCCGCTTTCTGGTCGGACAAGCGGCTTTCCGGCACTTTTGAAGGCCGGAAACCCTGTTACTTTAACACCGGCGTCATGGTCATAGATCTGATTAAGTGGAGGCGGGGCAGGTACACCAAGCGGATCGAAAAGTGGATGGAGATCCAGAAGAACCGCCGGATCTACGAGCTCGGGTCGCTGCCACCCTTCCTTTTAGTTTTCGCGGGACACGTGGCGCCCATCGAGCACAGGTGGAACCAACACGGCTTGGGAGGCGATAATGTGAAGGGCAGCTGCCGTGACCTCCATTCCGGTCCGGTTAGCCTCTTGCATTGGTCCGGCAGTGGCAAGCCCTGGCTCAGGCTGGACTCCAAGCGGCCCTGCCCGCTCGACGCCCTATGGTCACCCTACGACTTGTACGGACACACTCAATGAAATTGAAGCGCAAGGTCAAATTAAGGGGTAGTCTAGTCGCCGGTAAATTCCCTCCAGGTCTTATTTTGTCACATCGTTTGCTATTATTTTTTTAATTTCCCGACTGAATTTGCCATTGTTTCTTTTGTTTTTTTATATTTATTTTTCCATTCATTTTTTAATTTCTCTTCATTGTTTTCGTTTTGTGTCAGTTGTCTTGGTCATCTTCATCCTTCTTCCGCACTTTAGTGTGACCTACTGAGATATTTTTTTCTTCTTTTTTACTGTTAAATTTTTGTTAATGATTAGGTGATCTGTCACTCTGCTGTTCAGGCAATTTGTACTCTATTCTTCTATTATTCGCGCCACTGAAAATAAAAGGAGATAATTCAATTTGTTATTGTATAGATTTTGTTGAATAGTGTGTTTGTGAAATGCTTTTTTGTTAGGGCCAAACAGAACAGAATTCACTTCACTCACTCACACTGTGTATGAGAGAGAGAGAGAGAGAGAGCTGGGAATAGAATAGGAAGAAAAGCTAAGCAAGCTTAAAAGCCAAGATGGCATTTGATTACATACATGTACTAATGGGGGGGAAATAAGGAAAGGAAAGGGAGGGTCCAAATTCTTCAAGTAATACATACTAGGTCGAAATCGAAATGGGCGATTTGCAGTTTTGGAGTAGATGAAAGTAGCTCAAGTAAGTTGGCAACTGGCGAACATAACATTAAGACATTATATCAATGGTGGCTAGCGGAGTAGCTGGTGCCTGTTTGGTTCTTGGGAGTTTCTTCACTTTATGCCATGGTAAGGTACTCTGTTTTGGTATCAATGGCCCTATATAAAAGTGACCTCTCCTTTAGTTTTAGGTAGATGACATAGCTGCCAGCTTGTTGTTAAGTTTGGAGTAATTTTAATTGTTTAAACCTACCACCTGTAGTAGTTTTGTAGATAGATTATAGATGCATGAATGAGCACACTGATTTCTTTTATTATTGAACTTTGTAGTTAAATTAGGCAGAGCTGGAGTTGGAACAAGAATCTGATATGTGACTGCGAATGAATGATGGTTATTTGTGGGTTGTTGTTGTGAGCTAATTCCTAATCCCTCATTCTGTCTTTCCATCGCCATCTTTATCTTTAATCCGAACTGATGATGATGAGTGCTCCTTTGCTTATTAATCTCAATGATTAATCCACTGATCTCAAAAACTGGATGAAGATTATTACTAATGATGGGGAAGGAAGGATTGGGAGTCACTGTTGCGTAGCGTAGCAAGTGTCCAAGCCATTGGACGGAGAATGATTGGGACCGATTCCTTATGCCCTGCCATCGCGCGTGTCCGGTTGCTTTGGTGGGTCATCATCTTTTTTTTTTTAATTTTCTTTTTCGGGGTTTCTTCTTGTTGCTTCCATCTAACATTCTTTCTTAGAATCAATCTCAACTCAAGCACCTCCACCCCTCTTTCTTTTCTGTCACTCTCAGACAAAAAGAAGAAGAAGAAGAATTGAATTAAATTTGTGTGTGGTCGTCGGGAGGGATGGTTCTAGTGATGTTGTAGAAGAAGCTGCAGGCACGCACGGGTGAAACAACAACCTGAATAGAATAGAATAGAATAGAATAGAAGAGAAATGGGTTGGGTTTTGTCAACATAATCATGAGCTCTGCAGCATTTGGATCAAAGTTGATTCAAACAAACAATGGCTTTACGCCCAGGGGCATTCCCATTGAAGATAAGAAGAGAAGGTAATTTTCTGTTGCTTTACTTCCCCGCAAGTGTTTTATTGTAACAATGATAATAAGATAATAATAATAATAGCATGTGGTGGGAGGAAAGTGAATTGAGAGTAGGCTGTTCATGCGTATTGAATTTTTAAAATAAATGTATGTATTATGAAAACTCGAATGAAACGATTGCCAGCTTTACTGAAAAGAGTTGAGAGATACAGGGAGGGGAGGGGAGTCTATTGTGTAACCCATTGCGATCGGATTCGGATGGTGGACCCCTCTCCCTCTCCATCTCGTCTGTATTTTTGTGTTTTCATCCGTACTCTCTCTCTCTCTCTCTCTCTCCGAATCTTATTTATAGCATATGCTCGCTGGCATATAGCATACATACAAGTTTTAATTATCATTACGTAATAAGAACCAACCACATATTTTGATTTTGGTCCCTCCATCCCTAATATCTCCACTCCGCTCCACTCCACATGGATGTCAAAGGGTGCACGAGTTTGGGAATAAGTCCATTTGAAGTCGCTTCACAAATTAATGTCTATTCGGGTTTCTTATAGGTCGCTGTCCTGTGCGCATTTAGTCAGGTTTTTAGCCATGACTCGAGAGCAAATGGGGAGGGGAGGGGACCATAATAATAATAATAATATCAATATGTCTCTATCTCAAATTCAATGGTCCATCTTAGATTCTTCTTAGAAGATGCATTTATTATTATCAAGTAAGTTATGAATATATTTGTGCGCATCATCAGGGACTCCTAATTTCACAACCTTTGCTTTGCTTTGCTTTGCTTGCCTAATCTAATCATGGACCCATTCCCTCATTCCCTCATTCCCTCATTCCCTCATTCCCTCATTCTCATAGGTATGGATTTTCAAAAAACTAAAGCAATAAGCTTAAGCGCACCACCCTTGTAATCTAATGCACACCAGAATCCTTCGATTCATTGCAAACAAAATAACAAGCTAATAATCATTTCATTTCACAGAATACGGCAAATTCAAACAATTTTACAAGCCTGGGCTGGGATGGGATCCCCTATGACAAATGTCTTCACCAGTTTCAGTCCACCAAAAAAGGTCTCAAATGCTCTTTGTGGCACATTTACTCACCGACTTGCTACTTCTTTCACAGTACAGGAATGAAGCAGCTAGGTAACTTGCAAAACTTCAACAGGATGCCTCAGGTTCTGCCAAGCCCTAAGCTCAAGTCAGTCACATGATTAATTTACGAGCCTAATCTAATCATGGACCCATTCCCTCATTCCCTCATTCCCTCATTCTCATAGGTATGGATTTTCAGAAAACTAAAGCAATAAGCTTAAGCGCACCACCCTTGTAATCTAATGCACACCAGAATCCTTCGATTCATTGCAAACAAAATAACAAGCTAATAATCATTTCATTTCACAGAATACGGCAAATTCAAACAATTTTACAAGCCTGGGCTGGGATGGGATCCCCTATGACAAATGTCTTCACCAGTTTCAGTCCACCAAAAAAGGTCTCAAATGCTCTTTGTGGCACATTTACTCACCGACTTGCTACTTCTTTCACAGTACAGGAATGAAGCAGCTAGGTAACTTGCAAAACTTCAACAGGATGCCTCAGGTTCTGCCAAGCCCTAAGCTCAAGTCAGTCACATGATTAATTTACGACCAGAATCACTTTTAATGCACTACGAGTGGTAAATGAGTGTGGGATGTGACATTTGAAGTAGCAAAATCACTTTTGTATACTATTTGGCTCGTTTGGGAGTGATTCTAAATAGGCCAAAGAGTACTTTTTCATATAATCACTTTAATTGACTTTAAGTGATTTTATAGAGAAGCACATGGGAGCTGCTTCTCCCTAGAATTACTTAAAATCACTTAAAGTATTTATATGAAGAAGCACGTGGGAAGTGCTTATTCCCATAAGTGATCCCAAACGAAGTGATAACTACGATCTGTTCTGGTGTTACTAAAATTTAAATAGAAAAAGGAATGTTGATGTTGATGTGGATGTGAGACATTCTGGACTCAATAGCTAGCAGCAAATAAATGGTAGGTCAAGAAAGACTCAAGAAAAAGAAAGGAGGAGAGGCTATAACTTTTAGTGGGAAATCCCACTCCCTAACAAGGATGGTCTCCATCTATATCATTCACGGCTAGGCTTGTCAATCAACATGGATTGAGACTTTGATTTGATTACTGAATTTTTTATATATAAAGTTATTTTATGGTTTTCAATGTGCCACACCCACGTGAGTGATAGGGCTGTTTTTATACTTTATCAACGAGCATATTTTTGCTTAGGGTTATTCGCAGCAATGGTCTCTCAACTATACCCTAAGTTACACTTTGGTCACTCAATTCAATTATTAGTTGCAGAGGTCACTCAATTATGTGTTTTGTTGCATCGTTAGTCCTAACGTCAAGTCTGTTACTTTTTCTGTTTAAAATGATGACGTGGCAAGCATCTCTTAGATTATTGATGGACAAATGTGACTTTTCAATTACGACTATTTGTAGCAATGATCCCTCAATTATACTCGGAGTTACATTTTGGTCACTCAATTAGGTGTTGTGTTGCACCATTAGTCCCTACCGTTAGAGAGACTTGACGGGAGGACTAACGGTGCAACAAAACACCTAATTGAGTGACCTCTACAACTAATAATTGAATTGAGTGACCAAACTGTAAATATGGGTATAGTTGAGGGACCATTGCTGCGAATAACCTTTTTGCTTACTACTTTAACTCAAAGTGTACTCTCATCACCATTTTCAACACTTGACACGTGTCTTTTGGTATAATCATAATTAACCCTTTACTTTATATTTATGCAACCATAGTTATGTTAATAAACACGTGTCAAATGTTGAGAATGGTAGTGAGAATACACCTTAAATTAAAGTGGTGAGCAAAAATGCTTCCCTTTATCAACTGTGTAATACTAATAAAGAGGCATCAATGTTACTGTAGAGTGGAGCCATGTTGTTACACAAGTTTGTGATAATTAATTAATGCAAGAGTCTTTACAAAATATCTATACAAGTGAATATGAGTGTAAGACAGAGCTCATCCTCAATCTATAGATTCTAGGACAAGCTATTATACAGGATCCCCATGTCTTTAAGCAACAATGAAATGAAGAGCTCATTTCCGAAAATGAGAGAGAGAGAGAGAGAGAGAGAGAGGGAAAACGTCCACAAGATAATGCAATTCATCATACAACAATTAATGGACTAGTAGTGTTCATGAGTATCAGCAGCAGAATGCATTGAGAATCCCTATTATCTTTGATATCGCACAGGCAGCCCAGTTCCTTCCTGCAAATAGGAGAAAACAAGAAATCTAGAACATTACAGAAAAGAAACAGCATGTACCAACTACCAAGAGAACAGAGAAAGTCACACATAACTAATGATGCATCAAACCAACCTCTATGAATGGTCTTGGCATGTAATCATCGATAGCAACATGGTTTTGCGCATAAATTAAAGCCTCAAAACTTGGTTGATCATACGAACAGCTTCCGGCCTTGAACCTTTGAGAATCATCAACTAACAACTTGTCCCAATTGGAATGCTCATCAACAATACTTCCCATGTCCTTATTATAATGCTGTTCCTCCACTGTAGGGATGCCAAAACAAGATTCATTTATGTAGAAATTATAATGTTCTCCCCAAGGTATACTCTCGTGTGTTGTGGGATAGAATGTTTTAGCATTACATTCTGTCACATCCTGGTTCAGACTAGTCTGACTTTGACCAATATCATGATTAGCAGCAGGCACAGTTCCATTTACCATCTGCATTGCTTGTGCAATGTCTTTCAACGTCAAATGGTGACTCTGATTTCCATCAACTCTAGGTGAGCTCGCCCCTAGGGATGTTGAGTTCTTCTGAATACTCGTACCTTCACTAGTTACTTGCAAGCCCCTGTTTCCAAAGATTTGATGATGAGCTTCTTCTTCTTCTTCTTGTTCGTGTAACAAAAGTTGGTGTTTTAGGTCCAAAAGTTGGTGTTTTAGGTCCATGGTGGTTGGAATTTCAGATTGTAAATTTGCTTGTAATGGACTACTGTTGCTTAATTGGTACTCCATTTCGTATCTTGGCTCGCCTAGCGTTCTCGAGTCCAAAGGGAGGTTTCTTTGATCAGCAAGAAGCATGCCAAATTTGGGTTCTGGCCTCTCACTTCCAGCTCCAGCTACTTGTGGAAAAGTAGTGAAACTTTGAAATGGAACTTGTCCTGAATTGGCATAATCTTGGAGTCTGATCAACTCATTCGATGAAGATGAGAAGTTGAAATTTGGTTGTCTAGAACTAGAACCAATAGTAGATGTGGATTGTCTTCTCTGATTTTGTGATGCCTCATTTTGCCTTCTAAAATGGATGCGGTATTTCTGTATCATGTAGTATATTATGTGAGTTTCTTCGTTTAGCTACCTCAGCTCACGACAATTAATAAAGAATAAACTGACTGTGCAAAGCGAAGATACAAGGTTAATGTTTATTACAAGGATAACCATCCATGACCACACACACACACACACACATATATATATATATATACCTGAAGGTGGCTAGCGACATTTTCTCTAGTAAGACCACGAGCACCCATTTGCTGCATACGATCCAAAATTTTCTTTGGATGACAATCTGCATATATCAATTAATACAGGACACCAAAAACAAGAATGAATTAATATAATAGTACCCATTATTAATGTGATATATATATAATTAGTTGGTTATAATGATCGTTTTATTTGTATATAATTAGTTGGTAAAGCATTCGTAGTACTTACTTTTATGCCCAAGTTGATTCACAGCAGTGACAAACTGATGATGAAGCTGTGCTGTCCAAACTAGGCGTCTTCTTTTCTTCGCTGGAGAGGCAACAAGATCATCATCATCATCATCATCTTCCACCAAAACGCATGACTTGGGCTCTGCAACTGCAAGTGCTTCCTTGTTTCTTCTATTGCGGACCACATGCTGCCAAATCAGTCTAAGAGCCGTCCTCTGGAACGGCTTCACCAAATAATCACAAGCACCATGAATGATGCCCTTCGTCATCGTCTCATGATTATCATCTGATGACATCACTGAAAGAGTAGTACACACATATAATAATTAATAATTCAAATTGACATTGCATTAGGTTAATTCGATATACAATTAATGCGCATGTAGCTAGCTAGGGTATATATATATATAATGTACGTACTGATAACAGGCAATTTCATCTCCAAACCAACTGTCTCAAGGAGCTTGAATCCTTCCTCCATGGTGGGCATGTGCACATCACTAATCACTATATCAAACTTGCCTTTATCCTCTCGAAGCATACATAGAGCCTCCTCTGCATTCCGGCATTTGGTAACTGAAAATATATCAACTTATTTAATACTATAGTTTAACAAGGAAGTGAATTAGGCCGTCGACAATTACTTCCTTTTATAACAAATTAAAATTTAAAAGTTTCCAAAATTATTTGAAGAAACCCCTTATTCCTTAGGGCATGATCGAATGCATTCAGGCAAGGTCTCTGCTATTTTGTACAAGTTTAAAACTTCCAACTCACATCATGAAGAAAAAGTTCGCCATTAAATTCTTGGTCCTTTTTCCTTCTTCTTTAACCCTACTGGTATAATCACAACATATGTATATATATACCATCGATTCTCCCACCCCAAGGAAGCAGACAATTAGAAAGAAAGAGAATCGAACTACATGTTGTAAGTTGGCAAAAGCATATGATTAATTAGTATCATAAAAGTGCTAAGTTTGATTCAAATAGAGAAGGACTTATGAAAAACGAAATTGATGTACCTTGGTAATTCAGAGACTGAAGCATCCTTTCTAATATAAAGAGACATGTCTCATCATCATCTACAACAACAATCTTTAAACCAATGGGAAATTCATCTTCTTCCATTATGGCTTTTTTATCACAGAAGAAAATCAATCTCAATCTCAATCTCAATAAGAAATATATCTTCTCGTCTGCTGTTATTTACGGGGTAACAAATATACTACATATGTATATACCATATATATTACCATGAGGAATCTTTACTAGCCAAAATTGAATTTTTTTATATATAAAAGAATATTTAAAGTTCACAGCAATAGTAAGTTTATTAAAATATCTTATGAGTTTGTACTATATTTAAGGATAACTAAAGCTATGATTAGATGTACTTTGGTTCAATTTTAATTTTTTTTGGTAGTAAGTACCTGTTGTAAACAACTGATTGGCTCATTTTTATACAAGTCCTTTCGGAGAGCTTGGCCTAAATAACCACAAAAAACCTACCACTTTTGATTCCTATTTTGCCGCCGCTGCTTATCGCACAAGCCAAATTGAAGTACAAATGAAAATGTCTTGTTTTGTGACTTGTCAATCAAGGTTGGAGGAACCACAAATTTATCATTTTATATTGAATTCTAGTAATTAAAAAAAAACTTTCTTCGTAGACCCAAACCTTCTTATTTTTATTTTTAACTTGTGGGCAATTCACTTGACAAACGGCTTAAAACATGGCAAAATGCCACATAATCAGCCATTAGCTGTATAATTAGCTTATCAAGGTCTGGAACCACAGCTAATCAACTTTTGATTTTTATTTTTTGGGGGTAAGTCAAGAGCTTTGTTAAAGTTATGGTGGTATGGGTTATCTGAAAATTCATTAATTGATGCCGCCTGCTTCTTCCCCCAGCAGTTTTTAGAAGCAGCATATCATATCCGCGTTTGAGAGATGATGCTGGTGTCGAGAGAGTATTAGTACTAATGAACGATATTATTGTGGTAAATTAGGCTGCGCTGCTTATAATAATACTAGAAATTTTACGAAGAAGATGGCAAACTTCTAGCACTTGCTTATAACCACTTCCACTTTCTCTCTCCAATACTCTTCCAAACAAACTATTTCATATGAAAGCATATAGCTGATGTTACTTTTCCTTTCCATTTCTATGCTATTTTTTTTTACCATTAAAAGAAAAAATCTATGCTATTCGACAAAAATATACAACTTTGGAAAGACCCTATTGTGGTCGAAGTTTCCTCATCAACCACTTCTTTCGTAATTTAACATCCAATGCCATGAATGTTTTTGCCTTCTTTTCATCCTCTAGCAAATCACATGCATCTAACACAAGGTCTTCGTCCATGTCTGGTAATGCTTGTACTGCTTCAACCGCACTTTCAATTGACCCAGAGTTCAACTTCTCATCATTTCTCTTCTTCTCTGATAACGAAGATACTGCAGATGCCATCTCAGGAAGAGCACTAGCCATGCCACCATCTTCTTCTCGTGATCTTTTTGGATGAGCCTCATTTGAGCAGTTTTCTAGTCGACGCCTTTTCTTCTGGCACATAGGAGTTGACTCCTGCACATCACCATCTTCATCTTCAGTGGAAACTGATGTAGATGGAGACAGAAAACTAGTTAATGCTCCACACAACTTGGCGCCTTCAACTTGATTTTCTTGCTCCACATCTTGACCTGAATAGGAGTCTCTATCGTCAACACTTGGATCACATATCATGCACAAGTCTTTATAATATGGGACAGGCCGGGTCATGAACTGCCGTGCATCAGTATGTTCCTGCATGTTACCATACCAATATTTTCTTCAAACTCTGGAGTATGAAACAAGATTATATTGGGAGATCCTAAACAGGTAAAATTTATACACTTCAACCTATGTGAAAACAGATAGAACTCAATGGAAATGTTATGTACGGGCAATACATAATAATACAGTCTTCAGTTGAATAAGCATGCTGCACTTGATAGATACACACCTTAATATAATCTTGCCAAACATAATCATCAGCAGTCACCATTTGGCGCACATCATCCCAGATAAACCCATCCAATTCAAGTAGATTCTTTATAACATTATATTGCCTTTTCAGAGTTTTGTATCGATTTTTAAGAACATCCATATCATAGTTAAAGCCAAACTTCGCGTTGAATGAGGCAATCATCTCCATCCATGCTTGTTTACGGAAAACACCATCTATCCTGCTGCCTTTCCGCACCTGTTCTTGCATAAGTTCAATGAAATAACGGTCCATGGTTGGCTGCCAGTAAGTTCTGGAGCGACTATTTGTGGTGATTCCAGGAACACTTGTCATAGCGTGCTCCACATCATCAAAAGACTTTGCTGGCATGGTGACTCCATAATCTTCACCAACCATGATATCCTGAAGAGTCTCGGCAGTTCCCTGACTAACTCTCCTTGGCTGTGTGGCTGCAGTTGTACTATTCTCACCTGAATGTGATGACTCCTCGAGAATATTATCACCTGGCATCAACAGTTGCAGAAGCAGAGTTAAGAACTCCCAACAAATCAACTGCCCCTAATCCTAATTCACTTTTAACATTTGTGTCAAGTATACAACGCCTACTTCTCTCTTCGATGGCTGTGTCACTGTATATCAAACACAAATCACGATAATAAGGGATGATTTTTATTCTGAATGACCGTGCGTCTGGATGTACCTGAAACCATAATCTGTAAGTCACTTGACATGGTTAAGAGAGAAGGAAATTTAAAATAAATAAAAAGTTGAAGTGATTAAGTTTTGCACCTTGATATATTCATCCCAGACATTATTATCAGCAGTCACCATTTGTCGCATTTCATCCCAACTGAAGCCCCTCTGATCAAGGAGATTCCTTACAGCCTTGTGCAAGTTCCTTAGTGTTTTGTGCCGATTTTTCAGAACATCTTTTTCATATGGAAACTTGAACTTGGCATCAAACAAGGATGTCATATGCTTCCATGCTCGCTTGCTAAATAAATGATCATCAAATTTATTTCCTTTGCAAACTTGTTCTAACATGAGATCAATGAAATATCGATCCATTTCAGGGGTCCAGACTGTTCTCAGGCGATCACCATCAGTTCGGCCTCGGATACCCATGCTGCTACAACTGAGGGAGCATAGTGTAATCAGCACAAAAATTCACTAAAGGGTAAAGGCATCAAGCCATTTGGCGGAGGCAGGCATAAGACGAGAATTTTGTTATACCAATTGCTTTCCTTGAAGTACTAGTGAGGAATTCAATGGATTGTTTCAGATTAATTTCACGGAAAATGATGAAGGCTTTAAGCTAAACACATCCTACAATATCAAAGCATAATACCTCTCTCCTCAATAAGTTAATAAAACAGGGGAACACTGCGTTTGTAGGTTTGAGGGGCAAAGAAATGGGGCACAAAACCGGAAATCCAGAGCAAGCTTGGCGAAATTCCACTGCATTCAAAATGTTAACAGGCCCCCATTACTATTACTATTAGGATCATAAAAATTCCATTAACTCATATATCATCTCCATTCGCAATAGCGAGAAAAACAGAGCCATCTTCATTCTAATCTTTTTATAAAAAATCACGACTGAGGTCCTGTCTATTTTTCTTCCCCTAAATATACACAAAGTATGAATTTTTAACATCATTATCATCAAACTTAGACATTCAAGAACCAATATTTTAAAACCGATGATAATGATATTTGAAAAAGAAAAAAACATTCTTAGAATAAAATTAACTAATAACAATTGGAACCAGAGAGCAGAATTGGTCAGTACCAACCTCGGAATCGATTTGGCAGATCTGGGACTGCTAGAGTGCGTTTCTGCGCGAGGTCAGGGATAGGGTTTTCCTGAATAAGGCTGTAACCTGTTCGAAATTAGAATAGTAGGATAACCCCAACCCTAACAACGCTCGAATACTAACCCCACTCTGTTCGGATAACAATAAAAGTTTTATTTAAAGCGTCTAGCCGAGCGGCTATACTATTTATTTAAAAAAATTTAAAAGTACTCCAGTATGGCCGCGCGGCTACACTCATTAAATATAATATTTAATTAGTATAGCCGCACGGCTATACTATTTATTAGATTTGAAAGGACCCACAGCACCTAGACGGCGATTTTTTTAAAGAGTATAGCCGTGCGGCTATACATTATAAATAGAATATTTTTAAGTATAGCCGCCTGTACGCTCTGTTAAAATATTTTTAAGTATGTGTATTCGAATATTTTAAAGGTATAGCCGACCGGCTGTTCTGTTAAAATATATTAATATGTAAAGAGTATAGCCGCGCGGGTATACATTTGAAATATATTCGAATATTTTGAAAGTATAGCCGCCCGGCTAAACTGTATAAAATGGGAAGTAATATCTTAACATTTTTTAATTAGTTTAATTAGTAATTATGTTTTAATTATTATTTCTTTAGTGAATAATTAGTACTAGCCTCTCTACACGCGCTTCCGCGCCTGCGAGAGGCTTTTTTTAAAAAAAAATTAAATTTATTTTAGAATTAAAAAAGATAATGGGCAGCTGTGTTCCATAAAAATAGGATCCATTATCTGATTTTTCTTTTAATTTTAATTTTTTTAAATATGAAAAAGTATGAATTTACCATATTATCCTCATTTAATTAATAATTTAAATTCTTAATGTTTGCATTAACTAAGGGCATTTTTTGGTATTTTGAATGTTTCACCATTCTCTGCCTTTTGCTTTATATATATAGATTTAAATATATTACTAATTTATTACTTTCATAAATAGTAATTAATTATTTTAAATTACCTGTGGACTTTTTATTTTTATTTTTAATATACAAAACTAGTTTGTTTAGTTTAATATTTGCAATTAAGTAATTTCTTTGCCTGATTTAATTATATTAATTCTTCTTTATTTAATGAGTAATTAATATTTAAGTATTTTAATTAAATTCATAAATTACTTAATAAATATTAATTAATTATATCTACTTATCTTAAATAATTTTGTGGACTTTTAAAATTATTTATTAATTTCCGAAAATGGATTTGAGCCTCCAAACCCTAAATTCAAGTCCCAAACATTTCTCAAGCCTCAAACCCTAACCACAATACTATTATGGGG